GCTTGGGGAGCTGATACTGCCACAGGAAACAGCCAGTCATGACCACGGAGAGCAGGAAGAAGAAGCCGCAGGAGGCTGGGAAGAGCCACTTCTTTTTCATTCTCTGCAGCCTGGGCTGCAGGCCCACCTGAAGCAGGGAAAGGACACTAGGCACGGTCCCCACTGTGGTCAGCAGAGGGGAGAGAGAAACGGGCCCTTGCCCCGGCCTGGCATACGCCTCAGATTTGCTCAGACATCATGAAAGCCCTCAGTTTGGGGTCAATGCCACACTTGTGAACTCATAGCCCTTCCAGTGTGACCGCTTCAATCGCTCTGCCAAGCATGTCCACTCACACTCTGTACTTCTGCACAACCTGTGTCGCATGCCCTCTCCTCTCCTGTGTATTCAGGACAACCTCTAGGCCAGCTGAAATGCTGCCTCCTCACGCAGCCTCCCAACTGTCTACCCAAGTCTCCCAAACCTAAGGACCCGAGCTGCACGCGTGTCTGTTGCCGTGTACAACCATGTTCCACAGGGTGTCAAGGCCATGACACTTAGGTCACACCTCCAGGTCTTTCTTGGAAGCACCTCGGGCTATTAATCAAATAGTGCCTCCGCCAAGCCTTCCCTCTCCGTTTCCTGCAGGGCCCCTCTTTCACCTCTCTCCCAGTTATGTCTCCCACATTCCCTCCACTTCTTTCCTCTTTGTGTGATGGCACACCTAATTCCCAGGTGACACATTACCAAATCAGGAATGAAAGAAGGGACATCACTCCCGATCCCACGGCTTATGTCACCTTCGCGTCCATGCGTTTGACCGTTTCAATGAACCGGACACATTCCTTGAAAGATACAGCCCCAGGTTATCTCATGCGTGATACTGCTCACGCACTGCAGAGTGCCAGCCCTCTGGCTTCTGCCTGAGGCCCATGCGTGGATTTGCACGTGAGTACTGACCAAGAGGTTGACATTTCCACCGCACCAAGTGACATCACAGAAAGACCGGTGATGGATGACAGCCAGTTCTACAAACAGAGCAGTTCTACTTTGTAACACACAGGGCTGCCATGAAGTGGAGTCGGCTCAATGGCAGTGGGCTCGCTACGGCCTAGTTCTCTCAATCCTGAGCATCAGATTCTCATGTCCACTGCTTCCTGAGCATTTCCACGAGAACATCTCCAAATATCCAAGACTCAGCTTCCGAGGTGGCACTCGCCTCTTTCACGCTCCTCCTCTGCCTCCTCTGGTGTTTTCAATATCCATGTATGGCACCTGACTCCACCCACTCACCCCAGCTAGACACCCCAAGGTCTGCCCGTCCCTCCTTGTCCCTCCACCGCCGCCTCCACTCAAACAGCAGGCCCTGCGTACCTGCCGAAACTATGAACTATTTCAAGCATACTGAAGAATATATAGAATATATAGTATAATAAATAGTTAAATCTCCTACCCTCAACTTTGTTAAACCGTAACATTTGCCATATTTTCTCCCTTTCTTTAAAAACATTTTAAATATGCCATGTCAGTCACTTATTTCTGTTGTTTCTTGTTTGTTCAGCATCTTGGCCTCACTAGAGAACAAAGATCTTTGTTTTCTTTTCAATGAGATCCTTGACGCGTAACACAGTTCCTGGAACGTAGCGAATTCTACTGTTATGAATGAATGAATGAATGAATGGAAATAAAGCATTCAGGTAGAGGTGAAGCCTCCAGGTACCTTTCACAGATCTCAACTTTTCTCCCCAAATGAAGCACCCATTCTAATTTTTATGTGTATCACAAGTTTTTATTCTTTTTAAAATTTATTTATTTTATTTCTTTATTTTTAATAGTTTTATTAAGGGCTCATACAACTCTTATCACAATCCATACATACATCAGTGGTGTAAAGCATATTTGTACATTCATTGCCCTCATCATTCTCAAAGCATTTGCTCTCCACTTAAGCCCCTGGCATCAGCTCCTCATTTTTCCCCTCCCTCCCCACTTCCCCCTCCCTCAGGAGCCCTTGATAATTTATAAATTATTATTTTATCACAGGTTTTTATTCTTTCACGCATTTAAAGCCCATGAAAGCCAGAACTTGAGGAAGGTGGAAACCTGTCAGAGAAGGAAAGCTCAAGTATTTTCCACTAAGAGGAAGTTAGGTAGGTAGTTAGTTTATTGTGCCAACCTGGCCGATAAAGACATGTGGGATTAATTGAAGGGTGGAGAGATAAATGGCTGGGCGAGCCTTGCCTTTTTTGTCTCTTGCTCTTTGATGATCAGACCAGTGTGTGGCTGCCTTGCTTGTTCTGTGCCTCAATTTGCAAGCTACACTACCTGTGGGACACCAACCCGTGGACTGTGTCGCTGTAATTTGAGGTTCCTTCAAGACCTGCTTCACCACACCATTGGAATTTACATCTCTTGGTTGGGGACTGTCAGACCCTGTCATCTGGCTGGCTGTTGGTGACCTGCTTGCTGTTTGCTGCCTGTGCCCGGATAGCCTGAATTGCTCTACAGAGGACTACCTGGCGGCCCTCAAGCCTTGAAGGACTGCCAGTGTCTCACAACTGTCTCACGGGAGTGAGTTGCACTGAGCCATTTGTACTGCTTTATAGATGAGTTAACTGTTTATTTCTTATGCTATATATCTATCTGTAAAAATATATATAAAATTATTAGCATTCTGGTTGTTTCTCCAGAGAACCCTGTCTAACACAGGAAGCGAGAGCCCTGGTGAAATAGCGGTTTGCGTGTTAGGCTCCTAACCGCAAAGTCAGCAGTTTGAAACCACCAGCCACTCTTCTGGAGAAAAGCAAAACTTTCTACTCCCTTAAAGAGTTACAGTCTAGGAAACTCACAGGGAGTTGCGCCCTGTTCCACAGGGTCGCTGTGAGTCAGAACTGACTCCATTGCAGTGAGTTTTCCAGAGTTTAATAGAAATAGAAAAGTGATAAACTGCAGGATATCAAAGGGGGGAAACTTGCTAGGCCCAGAAAAGCAAAACAGGCTCATCAAGTTCCAGCTCCCACAGGTTTCACTGTATGAATTTAGGTCAGGAGCCCTGGCAGTGCAGTGGGGTTAAGCACTAGGCTGCTAGCTGAAAGGTCAGCAGTTCGAACCCACCAGCCACTCCTCAGGAGAAAATATGGCAATCTGCTTCCATAAAGATTATACACTTAGAAACTCCATGGGGGATGTTCTGCTCCGGCCTATACAGCCGCTATGAGTTGATATCAATTTTTAATGCTTATGTATCCAGAAGCAATATGTAGTATTGTTTTGTATATTTTAAATCTTACAAAAATATCGGACTGTATCCTGATAATATCCTACTTCATTTGTTTTGATTCGATACTATGTCTAGGTCACTAACTTCGGTAGTGTATGCTGTTATACATTATGTAGCATAGTGGTTTGAGCATGCACTCTGGGGTCAGACTGATTATTTTGTATGCTTGAGTTGAAGAACCGTGCTTTGGAGCGGTGCGAATCTTCTGGGTGGGGAGGCATGATCATCTCCGGGTCAACTAGAAATTATCTCATTGCTCTGCCACGTTGTTCTAATGTATACTCCACCAGTTGATGGAAAATCAATCAACAATTGAGTCTCGCTATTACTTTGACTTTCATTTTCCTGATAACTAATAAGGACCATGTTTACGTGTTCTTTCCACTTGACTGGTTCTTCCAGTTCCTTTTTCTTTATGTACAATAGCTATTGATGTATTTTGGATACAGGTACCTCATCCGTTTCATGTGCAGACAAGCCAATCTGTGGCTTGCCTTACGGTTTGTATGTTGACTTTTGCTCAGAGACAGAAAGCATTCTCTGGTTAGATCGCGGGATTTTGAACCTCAGCCACGAGACCTGCAGCGGATCACTTGGCCTCTGTGCTTGTTTCCTCATCTATAAAATAGCGACGAGGATAGTAGCTGCCTCATAAGTGTGTGCTATATGAGGCACATACAAAAACAGTAAAGGCACATTGTTCTACACATAGTAAGCCCTACTTACGGAATTATTATTGAATTAAAAAGCTTTTCATTTGGGGTTGGCTTGATTGTTGCCGATCAAAATTAACAAGATTTTCTCTTAAGTATGCACTGTGAGTATGTGCTTTGTTACATAGAGATCATAAAGAGAGGATTCTATATTTTCATGGGAAAAATGTTTTGTAATGAAGTAGGATCTACTTTTGTTTTTCCGTATGGGTAACGCCTTTACTAAATACCAGCACCATCTACGAAATACCCCAAGCTGCTCCCATTGCCATGTTCTCTCTCAAATACCAGGTTTCTGTGCCTGCTTCTCTCCGTTTTCAGCATCCCTACCAGTGGCCCTAGAGTCCTGCTGAGTTTCTATTCCATTCCTCTCTGTTCAATCCTACGCTCTCTTCATGAAAACCGCTCACATGCTGAGTCCTTGTGCGCAGGCACTGTTTTGAAGAGAATAATCCGGCGAGGGAGGCTTTCTATGGTCTAGCCTCTGGCTATCTCCACTGACCCATTTTCTGCCCTTTCTCCCCTTGCATCTTTGTGAGCCCAGAACCCATCCTGGCTCCTCTCTGCCTGTACAGCTGCCAGGCCTACTGGCTGGGGTACCCTTTCCATCCTTATCCACCGCGGTGTTGCTGTGGACTGTGGACCAGTGACTGTCTCCTTACTGTGTATTGAGCCTCCCTTGTGGCCACCTATTCCCTTCCCTCATCGACCCCGGAACAGCGAGGACTGCCTGTGAGTTCTGTGTGGCCACAGCCCAGCACGCCCCAGCAGAGAAGCAGAGTGCCATGGGAGACATCGTTGGTGTCAGAGTAGGCCGAGAAGGCGTGAACGTGAACGTGGAGGCATGTCTGACCCTGCTCCTTGGCAATAGGGAAGCCAGAGGAGGTCAGCTATGGCGTCTCGCGGTGTTTGTTACAAAGACAGAGCAGGAAGGAAAAACCTGGCGGTTTACTCCCAAAACTCAGCCAGCGAAAATCCCTGTGGATCACAGCCGAACACTTTCCCAGTTGCAACAAAACAGGTGATGGCCTAGGACTGGGCAGTCTTTTGTTCCATGACACACACACACACACACACACACACACACACACACACACACACGGTCTCCAAACCGGGGCCACCTTGACAGCAGCTAACCACCACCCAGACTGACCGGAGCGCCGTCGTCTCATGTTCAAGTGAAGGAGGAGATTCAGTAACCACAAGGGATGTGGGGGGTCGAGGGGGCCAGAGCTGTGAGCACGTTCGCCGCTCCACCGCGACGTGGCTGAGGCCTCTGCACGCCCCCTGCCCCTGCACAGCTTTCCTCTGGGCCCAGCCTCATCTCCTGTCTGTCTTTAATCTCAGGATTTATCCCAATAAGCCCGAAGGCAGGGACATATTCAGCTCTAAGCTGCCCACCAGCGGCTCACATTTCCACTCGCAGGGGTCATTCGGAATCGCTTGCTTCTCCCTTCTCCGCTGGAAAATGCTAGCAGGGGAGCCCTGAGGGAGGGCCTGGTCCCCCAGATCCCATGCCCTTCTTTCTTCCCCTCCCCCACTGCCAGCCCCTTCCCAGGGTGGCCTGTAGCCCCTTGACCCACATCTCCTTTCCCCTTCCTCCCCTTCTCCTCTAGGACAGCCCTGCTTTGCCC